CTTGCCGGATCAACGACTGACCGTGCCATCCCACGATCCGATCCCTGCTCGATCTCTTCTACTACCGAAAAAACGGAAAAACGATAACTAACACTAACCGAGTTTGCTAATCTTCAGCCAGCGCATGCAACCAGGAATCCAATGCTATTACAAAATGCAATGGCTAAGTTAAAAAAATGCAACTGAAAAAACTAGCTTTCGCACACAAGATTATTTGGATAAAGCTATCAATTTCCCCCCTAATCTTGATGTGCCTGCTCCAAACCCATCTTCTTCCGGAGTTCAAGAAACCGAACTCGTCCAACAGGCTTAGTCAGTATATCTGCAAGCTGATCTTCTGTTCGCACATACTCCACAGCGATTTGCTTCTTCTCCACACACTCCCTGATAAAATGAAATCGAGTGTCAATGTGCTTACTTCGATCATGGAGTACCGGATTCTTGCAGAGATTGATTGCTGATTTGTTATCAACTTTCATCACAGTTTGGCCAGGGTCCTCTCCAAGTAATTCTGCCAATAGCCTATTGAGCCAAATCCCTTGACAAGCACCAGTAGTAGCAGCAATATACTCAGCTTCACATGACGACAAAGCTACCACCTTTTGTTTCTGAGATTGCCAGCTGATCAAACTGTCTCCCAGCATATACAGTACACCTGTGGTGCTCTTCCTATCATCCAAATCCCCAGCCATATCACTGTCACTGAACCCAATCAATCTGAGTTCACCCTTTTCCCTTCTCCCAAACCAGCAGCCAACATCAAGAGTACCTGCAATGTATCTCAGAATATGCTTCACTGCTGCCCAATGTTCAGAAGTTGGTTTCTCCATAAATCTGCTCACATACCCGACAGAGTAAGCAAGATCTGGCCTTGTGTTCACCAAATACCTGAGACTTCCCACAGTGCTTCTATACATGGTTGAATCAACTCCTTCCCCTCCACTCTCCCTCTTCAGTTTCAACCTAGCTTCCATGGGAACTTGAGTAGAATTGCAGCCTTCCATTCCTGTCTTTTCTAGGATTTTTGCTGCATAAGCAGTTTGTGACAGAAACACTCCATCATCCTTTTGGACAACCTCCATTCCCAGATAGTAACTCAGCAGACCTAAGTCACTCATGCGAAATTTCTTCTTCATCTCCTCCTTGAAAAAATCAATTTCACTTGCTTGAGCCCCACTGATAATCAGATCATCCACATACACTCCCACTATCAACCTTGAGCTTCCTGTTCCTCTCACATACACTGCACTCTCAGTTTCAGACTTGATGAAATTCAGAGAAATCAAAGTGTTGTGCAGTTTTGCATTCCATGCTCGGGGAGCCTGCTTTAGCCCATACAAAGCTTTCTTGAGCCTCAACACCTGGCCTTCTTTTCCTTTCTCAATAAAACCAGGTGGCTGCACAACATAAACTTCCTCTTCCAAATCACCATTCAGGAAAGCAGACTTCACATCCATGTGATGAATCTCCCATCCTTTGTTTGCAGCTACTGCAATCAGGAGCCTCACAGTTTCCATTCTAGCCACTGGGGCAAACACTTCCTCAAAATCAATTCCTTGTTGTTGCACATATCCCTTTGCTACCAACCTTGCTTTGTGTTTCACCACAACTCCTGATGGATCCTTTTTCACCTTATAGACCCACTTTAACCCAATTGCTTTATGTCCAACAGGGAGCTCAGCAAAGCTCCAAGTCTGATTGTCTTCAATGGACTTTAGCTCCTCTTGCATTGCCTGCCTCCAACACAACTGTTGTTCAGCTTCTGCAAGACTCATTGGTTCCTCACTTGCCAGCAAGCATTGGTCGCTATAATCAAAATCAAGGACAGGTTCAGTAGCAGATAGGATATCCTGCACTCGGCGATACCTGATAGGGCCTTCATTTGTCCCTGGCGTGACAGAGTTTGGTGGTGAGCAAAACTCCACCCCCGCCGGCACTTCCGGTGGTGAGGGCGGAGTGGCCGTCGACGCCGGGTACGTGCCTCCCTGCACAGGCGTGCTAGCCTGTTCGCCCAAGTCGGCAACAACAGAGTCCACGGGATTCACAAAGAAATCCACCGTGAATTCCTCCTCTTCAGTCGCCTCTGTCTCAGGATCACGCCACGCCCATGTCGCCGCCTCGTCGAAGACGACATCACGCGACACGCAAACGCGCCGCGCCACAGGGTCATACATGCGATACGCCTTCGACCCCTGTTCATAGCCAATAAACACCATCCTCGTACCTCGATCGTCGAGCTTGCGCAGGTTCGGCTTCACCGTCTTGACGTAGCCTACACAGCCAAACACCCTCAAGTGTTCGACCGAGGGACGTCGCCCATGCCACGCCTCATGGGGGGTCACGCCATTCAATGCCTTCGTCGGCGACCGGTTCAGCACATACACCGCCGCCACAACCGCCTCCCCCCAGAAGCACGCCGGCATCCCAGCCGCCTTAAGCATGGAGCGCGCCGCCGCAACCACGGTCTGATTCCGCCGCTCCACGACTCCGTTCTGCTGAGGGGAGTAAGGAGCAGTGAGCTCTCGCCTCATCCCATGATCGGCGCAGTAGTCCATGAACTCCACGGAGGTAAATTCCCCCCCACGATCTGTCCTCAGAGCCCGCAGCTTTCGCCCGGACTCCAGCTCAACGCCGACTTGGAACTGCTTGATCGCCGTCGCCGCTTCATGCTTGCCGGAGAGGAGCCGTATCCACATATGCCGGCTCATATCGTCGACGAGGAGCAGGAAATACTTCCTGCCGCCTGGGGTCGCAGGCGTGATCGGCCCACACAAGTCGCCGTGCACCAGTTCGAGCGCCTCCTGTGCTCTAAACTTGGCCTCCTCCGGGAACGGGAGTCGTCGTTGCTTGCCCGCGAGACAACCGTCGCACAGTTGATCAGTGTGATCAATGATCGGAAGCCCGCGGACCATGTTCCCCTGGGCCAGCCTCCGGAGCGACTGGAAGTTCAAGTGTCCGAAACGCGCATGCCACCGCCATGCCATGTCGCCACCGCTCGCCGCCATGCAGACTGGATTTGCAATATGCAGCTTGAGTATATAGAGATAATTTATGTCTCGTTTTACCTTTGCGAGGAGAAGACCATCGGGATCACGGAGTGTGCAGACCCCGCCCCAGATATGTGCGTCGTAGCCGCGCGCGTCGAGACGGCCGACACTGATGATGTTCTTGCGCAGCTTCGGGATGTAGTACACCGTGTCGAGAGACCGATGATCACTATTCTTGCATCGGAACACCACGGTCCCGCGCCCCTGGATTTCAATCACAGAGCCGTCGCCAAACTTCACCGTCCCAACAACGCCGGTGTCGAGCTCGGCGAACGCCGAACGCACTCCAGTCATGTGGTTGGTGGCGCCGGTATCCAGAAACCAATCTCTTGTCACCTCCTCCTCACCACCATCCTCGTGGTCCAGGATCACCTTCTTCTCCGTGAGGTGTACCTCCTGTCCACCAGGTGTTCGTCCGAGTGTCGCCTCGCCAGCAAGTGACACCCCTACGACATGTGCCATAAGCAACGTCGGTTCTTCCTCGGCGGCTTGCACCAGGTTCGCCTCTCCCCGGCGTTGGCGTCGTGGCTTGCGGCACTGCCTTGCATAGTGACCAAATTCATCACAATTGAAGCACTTTACCCTCGAGATGTCGCGGCTGCTGTTCGCACCAGTGGCCGCCTCTTTGCCCTTTGGCGACCCACCGGGCTTGCCTCGGTGATTCTGCGTGCCGGGCGCGCCGCGGCCCTTATTGCCGCTGTTGCCGGAGCCCTCCTGCTCCCGCTGCTTCACACGTGCCTGCCATTGTTCCTCCGTGAGGTACAATTTTCCGCCATCGCTTCCCTCCTCATCATCGCTGTAAGAATCCACTGTTGACAGCCGCCCAACTAGCTCCTCCAGCGCCATGGTCTTCACATCGAGCAGCTGCTCGAGAGAGATAGCCACCGGCTTATACTTCTTGGGAACAACGCGCAGCAGCTTCTTGTTGACGTGTTCATCTTCCATGACTCCACCCATGTCGCGAATGTCCGCGACGACGGCAGTGAGCCGCATCGCAAACTCCTCCGGCGTCTCCCTCTCCTTGAATCGCATCGACTCAAATTGACGACGGAAGCCCTTCTCCTTCGCCTCACGCACACGGTCAACGCCGACCCGCATGGTCTTGATGGCGTCCCACGCCGCCTTCGCCGTGTCATGCTTTGCCAGCCCGCGCAACATCTCACGCGGCACCGCCTGAAGGATTGCCGAGAGAGCCGCCCGATCTTCACGAAACTCCGCGTAGCCGGGATCGATCGCCGTCCACAGCCCCTGCGCCTGCAGGTTGACGCGCATCAGGAGCGCCCAATCCGGGTAGTTTGTCCTCGAGAGGACTGGGAGGCGAGCGGTGTGCGATGCGTCTCTCCCCTGAGACACGAGCGGAAGTAATGCGCCGTCTGCTCCATTCCCCCCGCCGCTGCCGCTTGCGCCGCCGCGGCCGTTGCCGCTCCCCCCGCCGCCACCGCCACCACGACGGCCAGGCGGTGTGTATGACATCGCCGGATCGTTCCAGTACTGCTCTGATACCAATTGTTAGCTAGAACACTCTGAACACACGCGAGATTGTGGCTATCCTAGCTTGTCTGAGTAGTTCAGAACGATGAACAGTATCTGACGAAAATACGACAACATAGAAAAACAGAGCAAAAACAGAGTTTTGGTGCTGAAAAACTTCGCAGCTTTTCTGGGGTTTTTCTTCCTTTTATTCACCTCCACAAAAGAGTCTGTTACATGCGCGATCTTGCCGGATCAACGACTGACCGTGCCATCCCACGATCCGATCCCTGCTCGATCTCTTCTACTACCGAAAAAACGGAAAAACGATAACTAACACTAACCGAGTTTGCTAATCTTCAGCCAGCGCATGCAACCAGGAATCCAATGCTATTACAAAATGCAATGGCTAAGTTAAAAAAATGCAACTGAAAAAACTAGCTTTCGCACACAAGATTATTTGGATAAAGCTATCAAATACAATCTCAGAAAATAGAAGAGGAATTGAGTGAGAAGAAGTAGAGGAAGCTTCTAGAAGTGGCAGTGAAGAGGAACACGAGAGAGTAAGAAAAAGATAGAGATCGACGAGGTTCAACCGAACCAAGCCGCCGCCGCCGCCGCCGTGGCCGAAGCCGCCGATGAATCTGTTCGTTGCTTGAAGTTCTCCTGCTGCTCCCTTTTGTATTCATCTCCTTTGTTTGTTTGGGCCTTGGCATGGATTAGCAATTGAGTCAGCCCATGTGTAGCTCAATGGGTTCCTGACAGGTTCGTGGAACTGATTGTTTTCATCTCAGACTTGAATCCAACAGTTGTGCAAGATGAAAGTTGGCTTTAGTTCGAGCTTCTTTCTTCTGATGTTTGTGGCGTGGTTTCTCTGAAGGACTGGCGAGTATAATCAATAATTTGGCTTCTTAACAGGAATCTTCACTACAGAGTTATTATTGTATGGCATAGTTACTTACTGGGTTTTGCTGAAGTGCTCACTATCTCGATGCTACTCAGGCATCCGTGTCAATGAAATGCGGTTTGGTGGTAGTGTGCTGTTTTTGCATTTTTTTTTTAGAGAAGGGTATATTTACCCGGACTCTACATCCAACTGGATATATGTGCTCCTATGGAGATTTGAACTCAGGACCTTGGGGTGCTACTCAGGTCACTGCAACCACTAGGCTACATGCCCTTTCGCACTGTTTTTGCATATATTTTCAACAATTGTTGTCTGCATGAATGGCAGTCTGGTACTCTGGCAGAAATGAAGTGAAGAAATCAAGCATGGTGTTTCCAAATTTTATACTAGAAAGTGTGGTACATCCCGATACTTTTTCAAGGATGGTAAAATTACCCATTTGGTGAATAGATCAATATGACCCTAAAAGTTTTTCTACCCTCTGATATCAGAACATTTGCAGCGTATGATACTTGCTTGAGAATCTTGAGATCATGGTTTACTCGTGTTGGAAGCAGGTAAAAAGCACAAACATTGGCTTCAACTGGAAACTGCATTGACGAGATGACTGCGATGAGTGTGCTGGTTTCCGACGGTGAGATCCTTCTTCTGATATCCTAACTCATTTTGTGTTTAGATTATAAGGCTCTTCATTCATTTCCTTGCTTTACTTGCATGGCCTTAGGATGTTTCAGAATTCCATTATCTGAATAAATTTGCAACGTAAAATATTTTTCCAGAAGTGGCACTGCCAAGCTTAAATTCATTTACTACCGCTGTTCCACTAGTGAATGAACAAAACAAGAAACTTGATTAACAACCTGAATAGTTGGAAGAATAGATTAATTCCGTACAAACACATCCCTAAGTATCAAATTATGTCTTGAATGTCTTGCAGAATTTTAGTGTGTACAAAATTTCAGTCTGGTAGTTGTAGCCAATTCTGAATCGTTTTTTTTTACAGTTTTGCTGTTTTTCCTATGGCATGGTTAATTTCCATCAAGAAATTCTGACATTGTTTTCCACCAGGGATTCAAAGCCCTACAGTAATAGACCCGTAATCATGGAAATATGCCATTCCTGGCTGATATGAGCCGAAGCACATCATTGATTTCCTGAATTTAGTGATGTCAGGAGACCACAGAGGTATGTGAAACTGATCACCCTGCTCTATCAATATATACAAGGCAAAGCTTTTGCCCTCTTTTCAACAAAAAAAAAAGTGAAACTGATCGTTTTCTACTGGAATCCAACAAGTTGTGCAAGATGAGAGGTTGTTTATTGTGATTTAAGATTCCTTTTTTTTTCTGATGATTATGCTTGGCTTCCCTGCAGGATTGGTACCATTCATACCAACAATCAATGGGTGGCTCTGAGTGTAATCAACAATATCTTCTTGATGGGGAATCTCCACTACAACGTTGTTCTATTTTGTCTTGGTTTTGTATGTTCTGTTCTAGTGAAGCAGAACAAATTCCAACTTGAAATCTTGACTGAATTAGTACTCCTGTATCTATGTTTTAGTATTGTGTGTTTATCTTATCTAAACATAATAGACACCCCCATACTTATTGTAATGCACAAGCACTGGCACGCTGTATTGCTCATCGTTTCGATGTTTCTCTGACAGTGGATGCAGTTCGTGGTAATCTTCTGCTTTGCACTTATGTTGTAAATTGTTATGTCCAGTTCCGTGTATAAGCCACAACGGGCAGTAGCTCCGACCTGCTGTCAGTACAGTCAGTGACTCAGTGTCAGAAGAATGTAGTCGCTGGAAATGAAAATGCAGAAATTCCGGCGGCCCTGAATCAGTTCGTATTTGGCTAACTCCTGAAACTGTATGGCTCAGTTTGTACATTTCTGATTTTTCGCCATGCCAACGTGAAAAGGTTTGGCAATTGTTGTTTTAGACAAAGGCCATTTAGCCAATTGTCTTTCCAAAATGTTGTCTTCTCGCCATTGCCAATTGTGATTTTCGTGCAAGCTTGGAAAAGGTGTATATCTGTTTTGTTGCAATGTAGATCCATCGAGGTCCACGGTCTTTGGTCATCTTTCCATTTTATCCAAGGCCATCTTAATCTTAAAGCTCTTGAAAATTTCCAATCCTCCTAAAACTTTTGGCCTGCATACTGTTTTGCCAATTCACAAGGCTTGTTCCAGGGCGATTATTCTCTGGATCAGTTCCTTTCCTTAGGGATTTGCAAAGCGGTCACTTAGTTAATTTTGCCGTCGTCAGAAGAAGCGTAGTGAGTTTTTGTCCAACAGAAATTTGTTTGTCCCTCTGTCGAATTTCGCTCGATTATCAACATGTTTGCTCATGGACATGCCGCTGGTCGCTTTTTGCAAGTGTTTCGGTGCGCACATTGATCTGTTCCTAGGCAGCTGCCAAAATTGAATTTTTGGAGGTTTCTTTTCATAATAGCTTATTTAAATCTCTAAGGACACATATATAAAAACTTTTACCCACAAAAATATTTTTTGGATTGCTGTCAGCTCATCAGCTGTAGGATTTAATCTGTATCAAAACAGCAGATCTGCTTGCTTGATGATACCTCAAATATAGAAGAAAAAAAAGAGAGAAGAGAATAAAATGATCGCCGAATGAATTGATACAGTACATTTCAGGGATTTCATTAGTTGAACTGCAAATGCTTTTTTTCAAGATAGGAAAATTACATGCTCATCTCATTGAATAATTTATTTTATCTACAAGGTCTGACGAAATTAAGCAAAAGCAGAGCGATTGAAGTTGTAAACTATGATTAACTATTACTGTACCAAGTTGGGCCAGGCTTGCATGTTTTGCGACGGCCCATGAAGCGCTCAAAATCCAATTGGGCCTTCGAATCCAATCGCGAACAAAAATCGATCGTCATTTCTGACGAATATACAGGAGGGAACCGAATGGCGCGCAATTGCTCATTTGCTCTCCGTCTGCCTGCCATGCGCCACGCCGCCGGCGAGCCTTTGAAGAGTTCCGGCCGCCTTCTTCTTCTGTCCTGCCCACCGCCGTTCGCTTGCAAGGACGCCGGCCGCTCCGCTCCTACAGCGTCCAGTGCAGGGTGGCAGGAGAGGTAGGGGCTTGCTATGGCAGTCAGTGCCCGGCTGGTGTTCGACGGAATGGCTGCGAGGACAACACGTACGCCGTCTCGGCCGGCAAAAGCAAGCAACGGTTGTCAACACCTCTTCGGCAAAAGCAAGCAAGAGTGAGCGAAATCTTGCTGCCCTCACCGGCCGGCTGCCAGAGTACCAGGTCCCCTCGCGTCTCCACAAGGTCAGTCACCACTCACCACTCTGCTAAGGCGCGCGTCAGTCAACATCGGCGTGCGTGAAAATGAGAGATAAAAGCAAAACTGACTCTTGGAAATTAGTGGAAAGCAAGACGCGTCAGTCAACACTGAAATGCAGTGCGCAGCGCACTGCAATTCTTTGCAATTGTCTTTGCCTTTGTTCAGCCTGGAATTAATACCCCATTAATCACTCTCCAATAGAACTACATATCAGCAACAGCCGCCGTTGCCCTTGCCTTGGGTTCTTGCCGTGTGCTCCTGCTCCTGAGAGTTGAGAGAGCAACGATGGCTGAATATTTGGTTGGGCCACTGCTCTCCAAGGTGCTGGAGAAGGCTTCCAGCTTTCTTGTAGACATGTACAAGGTGATGGATGGCATGGAGGACCAGCGTGAGACTCTGGAGCGCTTGCTTCCAGCCATCCTCGATGTCATCCAAGATGCGGAGGAGAAGAAAAATCATCGATCCGGTCTAGTTTGCGCTTGGCTCAAATCACTCAAGAAGGTGTCCTACGAGGCAATTGACGTCTTCGACGAGTTCAAGTACGAGTCGCTCTGGCGTGAGGCCAAGAAGAAAGGGCACCGCAACCACACTATGCTTGGCATGGACTCTGTAAGCCTCTTCCCTTCTCGTAATCCTATTGTCTTCCGATATAGGATGGGCAAGAAACTGCGAAAGATCGTGGAGAAAATCAAGGAACTTGTCTCGGAGATGAACTCCTTCGGACTCGTACACCAGCAGGAAACACCCAAGCAGTGGAGGAAAACTGATTCCATCATGGTTGATTTTGACAAGGATATTGTTATCAGATCTAGAGATGAGGAGAAGAAGAAGATTATCAGGATATTGCTTGATAAAGCTAATAACACGGACCTCACTGTCCTTCCTATTGTTGGAATGGGTGGGCTGGGCAAGACTACCTTTGCGCAACTCATTTACAATGACCCTGAAATTGAGAAGCATTTCCCGCTCCGCAGGTGGTGTTGTGTGTCGGATGTGTTTGATGTTGTCACTATTGCAAACAACATATGTATGAGCACAGAGAGAGATCGTGAAAAGGCTTTGCAGGACCTGCAGAAAGAAGTAGGTGGAAAGAAGTATCTCATTGTGTTGGATGACGTATGGGAACGGGATTATGATAAGTGGGGAAAGCTAAAGACCTGCCTTAAGAAGGGTGGTATGGGTAGTGCAGTACTAACAACAACTCGAGATGCAGAAGTTGCTAGAATTATGGTCACGGGTGAAGTTGAAGTGCATAATCTTGAAAATCTAGGAGAAATTTACATGAAGGAAATAATCCTGAGGAGAGCATTAACTCTGCCAAACAATGATGAACATTTTGGAATTCTTTGTAAGATTGTGCACAGATGTCATGGCTCGCCTTTAGGTGCAAAAGCCTTTGGTTCTATGTTAAGTACCAGGACTACTATGCAAGAATGGAATGATGTATTAACTAAAAGCAACATTTGCAATGAAGGGGAGGATAAAATTTTTCCTATACTTCGGCTGAGCTATGATGATCTGCCATCACACATGAAGCAGTGCTTTGCTTTCTGTGCTATATTCCCAAAAGATTATGAGATTGATGTGGAGACATTGATCCAATTATGGTTGGCACATGACTTCATACCACTGCAGGAGGAAGACCATCTGGAAACAGTAGCCCAGAATATTTTCAAGGAACTAGTTTGGAGGTCATTTTTTCAAGATGTGAATAAAATTTCTCAGCGGGAGGAGAATGTGTATAGGAGTCAGCTCCGTGACAGAACAACGTGCAAGATACATGATCTTATGCATGACATTTCTCAATCTGTTATGGGGAAAGAATGTCTCAGTATAATTGGTTCGTCTAATTTGAAAAATCTGATGCGAGAACATCCTTTATATCACGTTCTCATACCATACACCAGCATTGCTCTTCCAGATGACTTTATGGGAAATGAAGCTCCAGCTCTCCGAACTTTATTGTTTCGAGGGTATTATGGTAATGTCTCAACATCACATTTATTTAAGTACAATTCTCTACAGCTAAGAGCATTAGAGCTCCCAAGAAGGGAAGAATTACCAATCAGGCCAAGACACCTACAACATCTAAGATATCTAAATCTCTCAGACAACAGTAATATCCATGAACTTCCTGCAGACATAAGCACAATGTACAATCTACAGACATTAAACCTTTCTGATTGCTATAATCTTGTTAGACTCCCAAAAGATATGAAGTATATGACAAGCCTACGACACCTTTATACAAATGGATGCTCAAAATTGAAGTGCATGCCTCCAGACCTTGGACAGTTAACTTCCTTACAGACATTAACATATTTTATTGTGGGTGCTAGCGCTAGTTGCAGTACCCTTAGGGAAGTGCATAGCTTAAACCTTTCTGGCGAACTAGAGTTACGTGGCCTAGAAAATGTATCTCAAGAACAAGCAAAAGCAGCCAATCTTGGAAGGAAAGAGAAACTTACACACTTATCTCTTGAATGGAGTGGCGAATACCATGCTGAAGAACCAGATTACCCTGAGAAGGTTCTTGATGCTCTTAAACCTCATCATGGTCTCCATATGCTTAAGGTAGTTTCCTATAAAGGCACTAATTTTCCAACATGGATGACAGATCTTAGTGTTCTTGAGAACTTGACGGAGCTCCATCTAGAGGGCTGTACAATGTGTGAAGAATTTCCTCAATTCATACATTTCAAGTTTCTTCAAGTTCTCTATTTGATAAAACTAGATAAATTGCAAAGCTTATGCTGCGAGGAAGCAAGAGATGGAAAAGTACAAATATTTCCAGCATTAAAGGAAGTCAAGTTAATTGATTTGGAAAGGTTTGAGAGTTGGGTGGAAACTGAAGGAAAACAAGAAAACAAACCAACATTTCCTCTGCTTGAGGAGGTTGAAATCAGTAACTGTCCAAAGTTGTCTAGTCTACCCGAAGCACCAAAGCTGAAGGTTTTAAAGCTAAATGAAAACAAGGCAGAGCTGTCATTGCCATTGCTTAAATCCAGATACATGTCCCAATTGTCCAAGTTAAAATTGGACGTGCTTGACAAAGAAGCTATATTGCAGCTTGATCAAATTCACGAATCATCTCTCTCAAATATGGAGTTAAGGCACTGCAACTTTTTCTTCTCCACAATCCCATCAGAACCAATAATTGGGATTTGGAAATGGTTTCGACAACTTGTGTATTTGGAAATCAAGTCCAGTGATGTGCTCATCTACTGGCCGGAGGAAGAGTTCCTATGCTTGGTGTCCTTGAAGATGTTGGCCATTTTTGGTTGTGTTAATCTAATAGGCCGTACCACGCTGGTGAAAGGTGAGCCAACTCGTTGTGCAACAGATCAGTTCCTGCCATGTCTAACGTCATTATCAATTTGCTGTTGTGATAACTTGAGAGAGCTATTCGTTCTACCCCCATCTGTCACCCACATTCATGTTTCTGGATGTCGCAATTTTGAGTTCATATGGGGTAAGGGGGATATAGAGTCGGAGAATGTACATGTAGAACACCATGACACATTTACATCATCGGAGCACTGCAATGACCTTGAGTACAGAAGTGTACCAGAGCAATCATCATCAGCAGTGAATCATCCTCTGCCATGCCTAGAAATGATACATATCTCTTTCAATGATAAAATGGTAGAACTTCAGAACCTACCACCGTCCCTCACGTCACTAGAATTTCATTCTTGTCCGAAGCTTCAGTCTCTATCAGGGCAGCTGCATGCCCTGAAGTTTTTGGATATTAGGTGCTGCAATAAACTGGAGTCACTGAATTGTTTGGGAGACCTGCCATCATTAGAAAGACTTTGTCTTGTGAGCTGCAAACGTCTAGCATCCTTAGCATGTGGTCCAGAGAGCTACTCATCTCTTTCAACTATTGCTATTCGATATTGCCCAGCCATGAATATGAAGCCGCTATATGAACGCCTTAGGCCACGGTTGGATATTCTTAAGGAAAGAGATTTGTCACATGCCCATGCAAAATGTCCTTATGGAGGTACCTTTCCATTGCTTATTCCTTCCTTTTTGTTTTTTTTTCCCTACATACTAGTATTGCATATCCATATGTTGCAGAGTATGCACTTAAAAATTTCAATCACCTCCCCCTCTGTTTTATAGTCAATAATACAATTACAAGGTTGTCAACAGAATTTCCTTATGTTTCAACAAACACAGGAGCCATGGTTAAATGTTTTCTTCTTCTGTTTTCAGATGCATGAGCATTATTTCCCTCCACTGTTTCTTTGTTAAGGACTGGTTTGCTTTCAATTAGTAGGAAGCCCATTGAAAACTAGTACACTAACTCTACTCCAACCTTTTCCCTTTTGCAATGAGGCTTATTTGATGACACGAAGTGTCATTCCACTAAAATCGATGAACTTTCTGGCTTTTTGACTGATCATTGATAAGTATGTGTATACCTTTGCAATGCCTCTGAATTGTTATTACATACATGCTCATGTAACAAAATGGTGACTATCTGTAGTTTTATGATAATCTCGTATATAGTTTGGTGAAAGTTGACATCATTCATGGATATGATGTACAGGTGTTATTCATTTTTCCTTGGGTACAGAGCATAAACGCCCGACATTATGGGATCCAAAATCTTGGAAATATGCTATTCCTGGCTGTCGGTGAGCCAGCGCACTTCGGTGATGACCTAAATTTGGAGAAATCAGGAGACGGTACATGTTTGTGGAACTGATTGTTTTCATCTTGACTGATCCAACCTGTTGTGTAATCTGAAAAATTGGTTTTCTGATTATGCATTGCTTTATCAATAGGTGGCTCCAAGTATAATCAATATGTCCTCTTGAAAGGAATCTCTGATATATTTTTTTCTAGTTTGTTTGGGATTTTTCATGTTATGACTAATTGAAGCAGCTTGAGGATCTCAGATTTCAGCAGAAAATATTCGAACTTGCAATCTTGTCTGAACAAGTACTCCTGTATCCATGTGATAGTATTGTGTATTTATCTTGTCTGAATATTTACACCTACTTCTTGCGAAGCACAGGCATAGTCAGTCTTTCTTTTGATGGTAATTCATGCAGTTGGTCTGGTGGTAATCTGCTACCTCCTGCCTGCTGCTGGTAATAGTATCAGTTTCAGAAAAATGAAGAGCAGAAATCAAGCATGGTTACTGTTTGGTCAACAGATCAAGATGAGCAAAATCCAAGGCACTACGAGTTATTTCTACTGGCCGAGATCAAAGATGATGTACTCATGCTGGAAGCGAGAAGCTCGCATTTTTTTTTTCGAACGGTCAGGCCTTTGCCGACGTTTTATATAAAGAAGAAGGTGCCCCATTTTAAAGAGAAAACAGGACCAAACCTTACAATGCACGGTTAATTAAGGAAAACTAGACGAAACCGCAACTGTCACACAACACCACCAACTAATCTAAGCTACCACGACAACGAGAACAGGACAGCAGAACTCAACACCCAACCAAAGCCGCTAACAAGGCACAAGCTAGACAAACATACGGCCCCCACACATTGACACAGCCATGGTGTTATCGTCATCACACCAACACCGATTGGGCGACTCCGACTTCACCAGGAAACACCAGGGTTAGGGCAACAGTCTAAACCACGCCAAAGCACAACTCAACTAGGCTCATGTCATCGTTGCTACACGTCGCGCCCCGTCAACACCGCAGCTCCGACTTCACGACCACTAGACTCATTGAGACAAGGGCGAGCCAGACTGACAAACCGTGCAGATCGAAAAGCTTAAAACCCCACACTAGAGCGTAACGCAAAAGACGAAGTCTTACATGAGTCATCATTGCCGAGCTCGCAAACACGTAGCAGCTTCGACTTCCCAAGAGGACAACAGCAAACCCCTCCCGAAACCAAGCAAGGATACAGGTCATTGTTGCCAAGCGTGTCGAATGCCTCAAACGCAGCAGCTCCGAATTCCCGATGGCCCTCCTTAGGTGTCAAAGCGGAGCAAAACTAGAAATTACCTCGGATTTCCTCAACGATGCATTCAAGAAGGATGTGACGCTAGCTACGTCACCATCGCCAGCCCAAGAGTGGACTAATAGATTTTCATGCAGAGAATCCAAACAAGGCAAAACGGGAAAGCGCAATAAGAAGAAGCTCGCATATTAATTCTATTGTTTTCTTGCAAAATTTTCTCTGGATCATCAACAATTTTAGCCTCTCATACTGCAAGACATATCGATGAGGCGCAGTTCAGTTTGTATATTGTAGTGTTTCTGTGTGCTTCTCTTCATCTATGAAAAACAGCAGCAGATCTCCTGCCTGCTTCATGCCGCGTCACTTGAAAAAGCATGGAGAATTTGTAAAATTTTGCCAAACTATATCAATCAGTAATGAACGAGTTTGTGTCATTGTGTGTGTGCCAAACGTGGTTGATTTACTCATTCACTCATATGGTCCCACATATCATTTCCACCAGCGTCAATTAAAGCAAATTGGCAACGAATATAAAGGGTCGAATTATCAAATTTCTCAAACAAAGCAATGGTGCCCTGTTCAAATAAAAAGTTTTTAATTGAAATGGATTTCATTTCCATTTCTGCTAGAATTAGAATCGCCTATAATTAGAATCAGAAACCTAAACTGTTTACATTTTTATGTCAATCAAAATTTGCAAAACTGTACCAGAGTGTAATCAGAATCACTGGTTAGAGGCCGGCAGACATCTTCTTTATACTGGAAACCAGGAAGAAACATACATCCAGCATTAGTTTAATTAGTTAGATCTATCAATAATAAATGGCCTTTTTATGCAGTCCCGCTAAATTGGCAACCTCTAAAAGGAGACAAAAACAAATTTATCCCCACATAGGATGTATCTTTAGGATTTGCCCCTGCTTGTGTTACCGACATGTGGGCCAGGGTCCATTTTCAGTTTCATATGATGATTTTGCATGTACATCCTTCTATTATGACGTTATTATAACTGCCTTACACGAACACGACACGAGCATATTTCACGTTCAAAATTAGATTTGATAAAACATTTCAAACTTTATCATGTAAAAGAGTTTGAAACAAACCCAAGGCTCTCCATCTCCGACGAGGGACTACCGTCTCCTCCGGCGAGTCGTTGAACGGCAGACGAAATGGGACAAACAAATCCTTAGATAGATCATTATCCAAAAAAGCGGGTAGCCATGGATTCACCCACGAGTCGAGAATCGATGGCGTTCCAGTGTTGCTGATCATGGACACGATGTTCACCGGAATGCCTCGCCACGTAGCTTCTCCGACCCTCACCGTCAACCTCACCTTTGAAAGTGCTCGGCGCCTAGAGGGCAGACTATTTTTTTAGCCTCGTACGTTGTCTCGGACAATTTGTTTTCCTCCGGAAGAATGTTCTTAACGAGTTTTAATAAATCACCAAATGACTTGTCACTAACACCATTTTTTGTCTTCCATTGCTAGAATTCCAGAGTGGTATCCAACTTTTGTGCCCCTATCCACAACCTGGTCCAACGATGTTCAGTGGTCCTCTAACATACGCTCCAATTTATGGGCCTCCTTTTCACTTTCGTAGTCCTCCTTGGCGTCCTGCAACATTTAACCAAGATCATCCACAGCGTCGTTATCGTCAACATCCCCATCCACATCGCCCGTTCTATTTCCTTCAAATCCAGCGTACTAAACTCAGTCGGGAATGTTCTCGTCTTACACGTCATCTTCTTCCATTTAAACCCCTAGCTCTCCGTGCGATGTCCAACAATTATAGCTAGGCATGAACCCCGACTCAAACAAGTGGAAATGAATAATCCTAAGTGCATAATACTCCTTCTGGTTCTTGCACTTATTGCATGGACGACAAATATAACCCTTATGCTTGTTAGCATCGGCCACTCTCAAAAAATAATGCACGTCATCAATAAACTCTTTCGACTGCTAGTCCGCGTACATCCATTGCCGATCCATCTACATGAAATGCAAAAAAACCGTAAAAATATTCAACGAAAGTGAAACCCACTAAACAGTCATACAATAATGACATATCATTATACATACAATAATTATAAAATAATCCCACAAATTATTCTTTTTGTAATTATTTTTGAAGTTTTTAAACTAATATTTAATGTGTTGTACTTCTTTTAATTTTCAATTTAGTTTGTTTTCTATTATTTTAGATTAATTTTCAATATATTTTCATTCTCAACTATTTTATAAAAACTTTTTATAAATTGTAAATAAACAAAATTTCTATACATTCTTCTTCCCTACACAAATTTTCTCTCTCATCAACTTCCAACAAAGTTTTAGAGACAATAATGTGTACCAAACATAGCTTCAAATGTAATATGACAACAAAAAAAATATTGGAGGATGAAGTTGCTAACCTTTTAGACACCTCCAATTTGTATATGATCACCAAAATAAATTCACAATAAAATTTGGCAAGACCTCCCCTCTGAAGAATTTTGAAGCTTGGCTCGGACTGGAGGAAGAAGAAGACATATATAAAGATCACTACTGGCCCTCACCGTCGCCGTCGTCGAAGGTGGAGAACAATGCCAAGGGACGCCGGCCATGGCTATGCGGCTGTGGGACATGGCGGCGACAAGAAGCCACGGAATGGCGCCAGCGCGGTTCACTCGTTGTCTTCCCGGTTCCGATGGAAGCACCGGTGACCGCCAACAACGTACTTTTGCTTTCGCCGTTACAGTTTTATTACTCTATGGATGTGTTTTCGTTTGGAATAAATTGCACTTAGTGTCGAGTGGTTGCGTTCTAGTACAGGAACTTAAAATTTGAGCATATATATATAAGTGTATTAGCTTAGCTATATGGTGCACTTTAGGCAAAGTGATACCACATTATTATTCTTTTGTCACATCAGCATAGGACATTGTTGTTGATTGCACATCAGGTGCACAAGATCGCTTCTCTCGCATTCTAATAAATTTGAAACAAACTATCTACACCTTTTATGTTCTATCTGTCCCGCATGATGTATATTTAATGTCGGCTTCCTTCAATTTATCAGGAACTCGTGACTCCCAGGTTGATCTATTGCTTTTGGTCGACTGTAAAGCTTGTGAACATACATCACGCTGCTTTTCTTAGACACCATCTAGCTGCATTGTTCAATTGACTGTATAATTAGGACACTACTACAGGAAGGGTAAAAGGTGCCGGTTTGAAAACCATAATAGGTGCCGGTTTTCCCAACCGGCACAAAGGAGCACTGATAATACTTGCCATCAGTGTTGGTTTTAGAACCAGCACATATTAGGTAATAGTGCCGCTAATAGGTCTTAACCGGCACCTATATGGTCTTAATAGGTGTCGGTTTTTAGGTTAAAACCGGCACCTATATGGTCCTAATAGGTGCCGGTTCAAACCTAAAATCCGGCACCTATTTGTTGGGTAATAAAAATATTGCAGTAAATTCATCCATACAACCCCAATTCCATACAAACCCAAATCCATCCCTACAGCCCCAGATCCATACAGCACATTCATTCACTTTCACATTCATCACAACAAATAAAAACCTACAAGCCTAAGTTAAAATTTGCCAAGTCTAAAAATCCGTAGGTCCAAAAGTTCCTATCTTTAAATCTTAAACATTTGCATATATATCCTAACTCAAAATATTCCTAGTTTAAAATTTTTAAGTCCAAAAATTCCTAAGTCTAAATTATGAACATTTGCACATATATCCTTAGGTCAGAAATTCACAAGTCTAAAATTCGTAAGTCCAGAAAATTATAAGTGTAAATTCTAGACATTTGCATATAATTCACATTCATATCCTCGAGTAAAGAGCAAATGAGATATTGTTGGGACTCAGCGTGCCAGTCAACTTCAGCCTGAGATGTGCTCATCAAACCACACGAAGGTGGCGACCAGATGTGTTACACATCCCAGGAAACTTGACTAAATCGCTAGAGCTCTACAACATCTCAGATGCTCTAAACATTTACATATATATTGTAAGTCCAAATCCAAAACATTTGTACATACTCCCTCTGTCCCATAACATAAGGGATTTTGGGTGGATGTAACAAATCCTAGTATAATGAATCTGGACACACGGTCTGTCCAGATTCATTGTACTAGGACGTGTCACATCCATAATTCATGCATAAGCACTAAGTAACTACAATTTTTCACACAAATCTACCTACCTGGTTTTTCTCTTCTTAGTAGTTGATTTCTTCACTTTTTGGTCCTGAGGGGTAGGAGCAGAGGATTGCACTTTGTTGTGGGAGCTTGTTGACATTGTAAGTGCCATTTGGATCTATGACATGAGTATGGACAGGCCCGCAAAACTAGTCGGTGAGAGCTGTGAAGACGTGTGGCAGCATTTCGCTTGTTTCAAGACCCAACTTCTGCAACACAAGGGTGGAAGGCATAGAAATTTACTTTCGTACTTCAATAGAATAGTCTAATTTATTACGTAAGTCCCTGAAACATGTCATACCTCAGCATTACGGGGAAGAAGGTGCCCAGACTCTACAAAACATAGCATGTACCACATGACGTACATCCCGCAGAGGTTGGTAAGCGCTGGTTGTCTATAAATATATTGATTTTCAAAGATCCGGAATGATGTTGCATCGATCGCACATCTCCCATACGTTCTTTTGGACCTACGGTACTTCACATATGCCCTATTTAGTGCATTCATAATAGTTTGGTAATTGTCTGTCCCTTTCCTCAAGCTATCATATACACAAATCTTACTGTCGTCGATATTGATTACGAAGAGGATCCAATGATGGCTGCACATAGGACAATGTATCAATAATATGATACGCGTGGAGAGCAAATGGAACTAGAAATCGATGATAGTGACTTACTGAGATAGGTAAGGCAGGAGAATATGGTCATAACCATTTTGCTTAACGAGGGCATTGAAGAGATAGTCGTCAATTTCTTTTTCTTTGGACAACTGATTGTTGAAGTTCACAACCGCTGGATCTAGAAATGCAATCTTACGGTCAAGACTTCTACATTGATAAGAGCAGCGCCTGCAAAAGGAGAAAATAGTTGAAAACTACTTAGAGTACGTCCAAGGTGCCAGATTAAGGAGAAGATATCAAAGGACTCACAATGACCACATTTGGAGGAGGCTGATATCGAGTTCCTTTTTATGGTACAAGTTGAAGAGCTCCTTAAATTATACATAACATATATTGGGGTCATGGTGAAAATCAATGTCGGTGTAGTAGGCACCGATCATTTCATGACCCTTTGCGGCCTCCTCCAAATACCATTGATGCAGCCAATGCGCTTGAGTTCCTAACCATTCAATTTCTGAGTCGAGCACCATGGGTCATCCATGTTGGAACTGAGTACCACCTCAGCCTTGTCAAGGTTATCAATATCGTCTAGGCTTTTCAAATCGACTGACTTACAGAAAGCAGCCTCATCAGACGCTTTCTTGTCAAGGAACAACTCCCTAGATCGAGACTGCATTTCACTTTTCTCAAGTGTTCTACGGAAGTCCGATATAGGTTTTGGAGGTAGCCTTGGCTGTGCGCATTTGATGAAATGCTCGATCACTTTCTTAGGAATTGGAATCTTTCGTTCCTCAGGCTTCTTGGGGCCAAGAAGCGAAGTGATGCTACCGCTCACCTTTTTCGGTAGCGAAGTTGTCGGATTTGGCACTAATTTCGACTTGGAATGTGGGAGTCGCTCCATGCTTGATGAACCAGACATTTGCGACGCACTTGGTGTTGGGGTCTTTTTCCTAATTGGGCCTGTACTCGGAGACTTCTGCGAAGGTTGTGGTTGATTTGGGGTCTTCTGACGAGGAGGTAGACTAGGGGACCTCTGTCGAGGCGAAGAATGACCTCGTCCGTTTGAAAGGCTGGAATCATCGGCGCTTGGATCCCCTGCCCCATCGTTTGTGATAACGATGTAGCGTTTGGGCCATACGATCAGGTTGTGAAGAGCAGCGCTCAGAGTGTCAACCCCTTCCTCTAGAGGAAATTGTAGCACATAACATCTATACTGGCTTGGCACGTCTTCCACTTCAACCCTTGAGTGGTCTGCAGGCAATGGAACACCGTGTATTGTTTGCCCTGCACATATTGGATGTGCCACATTGCGTGCAATCTCCTGAGTAATGTTGCTCTGAAGAGGGACATGGAGCACGCACGGAGTATGTGTTGTTATGTCGTCCACAACGTAACATGTGTTCCCCTAAAAAAACAACGTAATGCGTGGTGTGCTGTTCTGGAGGGGGATTATCCGCGGATGCGCAACTGCTCCGTTTCCCACCCGGGCTAACCAGTTGGTCACCAACTTGCCCCTGTCGTCCTAGTACCCCATCGGGAAACAACACTGCATGTTGTGCCTTTACCTGATAGGCCACCTCTAATCTCATACGTCCGGCCTCCTCTTCTCTCGTGGGTCTTCTTGAACGGGCCCGATACATGTGTGTATCATCCGGGAACCCTTCCTTCCATGGAACGGAACCAACGCCTCTCATGCGTCCAGGGTGCTCTTTCGTCCCCAGTGCCACTGTGATCTCATCTTTCTCTCTTACTGGCACAAATTTACCCTGTCTTGCCAGGGAAATGGCCTCAGTGATCTTTTCTTTTAGCTCTTGCTGATGAGGTCCCAGAGCAACCAACTCTCCTGATCCGATAGTTGAGCCTTCCTGGCGTACATGTAGTGCTTTGTCCGGGTCCCCCATGCATCTGTCTCGAGAACTATACCTGCTTGATGTAGTTGTTCCACCTTCTCTTCCCATTTGGGGATATTCTTAGCATATCCGCTCGGGCCAAGTCGGTGTGGATACGTGTTCAACATGAAGTTGTCCTTGTTTAGGGCGCTCACTTCTCTTGCCTCCTCAGATGTTTTCTAGCTCACAAACTCATCCCAATAATCTGCCAACTTTTGATACATGGGTTTCTCAAAATCCGGGGTTCGGTTGCATTGGACGAAGTCCACGTTCAAGTCAGTCCACCACTCTCTAAATAATGTGCCCATCTTTGATAGGGCTCCCTTCTTTGCTAGCTCTTCTTGGCCTTCTGGAAAGGTGAATGACAACTTCAACTTTCGCCAGCATTCTTCCTTCAGGTACCATCCAGTCGAGTTGTGTTACATCATTTCATTCCAATGTCTGTACTTGATGGGAATGAAATCCTTGACGATACATCCACACGCCCTACCATAGGGGGTCATCACCGTCGATGGTACGTGTGGCCACCCAGTTTCATGAGCACTGTCACAACGTAGTGACCATCCGGCATCAAGCTAGGACCCCTAGGCTAGATGAGACAGTTGAATTCTGGCCTGAACTGCCAGTGGAAGTGTCAACCTCCTTGGAAATTGCAAATTTGATTAGTTCGAATGGTCCATTAGAGTCGGAATTTGCTAATGCACTATTGCGTGAAATATACGTCGAAATCACCTCTCCGCCTTCGGAATGCTCTTGATTTAAGTTTAAGAACGTGCTAGGGCTGGCATGATGTTCACCCTCAGATCTGGAGCTGGCAAATTCTTTGTGTTCCGTCTAGTCATCATCAAGCATAATAACATTACTAATGTTGAAAAATAACATGGTCTAAAGGTGTAAGATATTTTGTGCTCTCAGAACTGTTACAAGCACAAAACAGGAACATATTTGCTCTCAGATGGCAGGTTGCCAACTTAATGGCCTCCATGCCATGGTGTACTAGGTCGTCATCGATTATGTGTGGCAGTATAAACAGAGACGAGAATAAAGGGCAATTCAAAAATAGTGACCAAAAGAGAGTGAGGGAGAGTGTGTGGATAAGAGAGAGAGGGTGAAGTGGCCAGTGGGTAGGTGGCAGGCCGAGTAATTAAGTAGTAGGAGATAGGTGCCGGTTTTATACCCTAACCCAGCACAATTCACAAATCACACAAATAAATGAAATACTTCCACACATAATCTCCCACCATATGAATTTCATCATCGAGCAACAAGTTATATTCACATGGGCAATGCATAAATATATCAACAGCAGCAGGAAAGTAGAAAAGTACATTTCAACCCAATGATGGATTGTGGAAATAAACTGATATAGGAAAGTACCAAATATATCAGCAGCAGCAGCAACACAAAATATATTTTAGCAGCAGCAGCAGTAGCAGCACAAAATATACAGTAACATGACTGAAATGTCCTTAGACATTGGAAATGGAGTAACAAGTGCAACAAGCACATATTTGGTCTTAGTGTGCCATATATGTGCCAATGTGTCTTAGTGCCATACTGCAGATTTTCCAACACATTGTGGCATGTCTAAATCCATCACCCATGACAGTAAGGGACAAATCCATCACACACATGCACAAATCCATCATACATTCACACACATAATTACATCCTCATACAACTTCCATATTCTATAGTTGTAAAATGTTCACATGTATGGGTAATCATGGTTTATACAACTGGGTAATCCAAACAGCTGGTTCGGTGTTATTAGACACTAAAAATATATAATTAGTTACTTAATGAGCAACATAAATACCCTGTAGAGGTGATCTTGAAGCCTAGGTCCAGTGCAGCAAGTTATGGGTGTTCAGAAATTTTATTTTCGATTAAAGTATATAAGAAATTAGGATCAGGATAGTGCTAACAGTTGCATTTACCATTTATCTTGGATGCTGTTGGTATTTCTTAACTTTACAAATAAAATCCGCAAGCGCACGGAAAATACTGATGTAGCACTTCAGCCAGGAGTATTCTCAGGTATTGATTTCCACAGGGAACGTGTGTGTCAGCTCTTTACCAGGTTTGTCCAAGGACACGAAGCTAATGATAGGCAAAGGATAGAGAGGATTCACCGGTGAGAAACAATGTCTACGGAAAGCTTAACTTAATCCTAACGCGATACTTCGGGCACTGGCCAGCTTGCTGCTCCCAGATATCGCTCTATTACGTACCCGGACAGGGAGGACTTACACCCACCTCTACACCCACCTTACACCTACTGTGGGATACGGAGCAAACACCATAAATCAACTACTTAGACACCGCATCTAAGCAATTAATAGCTACTGTAGTGTTTATAACTCACTAAAGTAATCTATATTATAATAGACTATAGTGAACGATGATCCCGCACGCTAATTAGGAACTAACCAAGAGATAATTCTCACAGAGTAAATTTTAATTACTTATAATGATATTCAATTAATGCAGAGTAATTAACAAGATAAAAAAGGTAAGAAGAGAATTAATTTGCATCGACAACTTCTTCTACATTACTCTCTCTCTATTCTAATATACAATAAAGTACACTAGAGCCTCTTGTAATTCAGCTCATGCTTCAAGTGTGTGTGAATGAGGGAGAGGACAGGGGTATTTATAGTGTGGAGGTGAGTTGAGAGAGTGGAGATACTGTGAAATATTCAACATAGAATCCTAAGAGCATCTTCTTAACTTCTCCTTTTGCCATGTGTCCTCTTGATGACGGTTTCCACCAGTATTAACGCTCCTAACCGTCATAGGATGAGGATAACTATCAGTTGGTAAAATATTGTGCTGGTTGGGCTAGCTGCTGGTTCAGCCGAACCCTGGCTGGCCCATCCAGCCTAGCTCCTTCTCTGGTGTTCTGACATGTGGGTCCCACTATATGTTCTACTGAAGTTTGGCTCAAGATAAATGTATCTTATTGGGTTTGTGGGCTCAAAACTCTATGGCTTGGATATGGAAGTTATATTCTCATCCTTCATGTACATTTCATCTCAACTTTGGTGGGTTGCATCCTGCATACAAATATACACTAACACTCGTGGAAATGGTTAGAAATAAATCCTACCACTATATTGGATGTTTTACTTTTATGGTTTTATGCAGGTATTGACAGCGAGAATTTTGTACTTAATAGCCGTCCACAGATGCCACTTGGTTTACCATGCTAGACTTGCCATTTTTCTATATATCCTAGCATGCTAGTGACGAATTATGATGACAAGCACAATGTGGATACTTTACTGTGATTACCAATAGAGCATTATTATCAATGATACAATGGCATTTTACAAATATATTTATGTGAAGCTTAAATCTATACTACTCCATTAACAAAACATATTTCACAAATCCATCACACACATTCACACATCCGTCACCCATGACAGTAAGGGACAAATCCATCACACACATGAGCAAATTTTCCTAAGTGGAGGAGGGAAGAAGAAGAAGAGGATGGATGGGGGGAGGAGGGGTGTACCTCGGCATTGGGCCATCGTTGCTGCCTCCACCTCCGCCTTGCCGCCGCACACCGCTGCCCCTCTTCACTGCTGCCGCTGCAAGAACATTATACAAATAAGCTGAACTTGAATACTCGATCCGACCATAAATCATGTGAAAATTTTGCATATTTCTTTGGAGTAGAGCTGAGTTTCGTCAAGCAATTTTTTTATTAAGAAACCATGTAAAATCTGATGAAAATGAAATAAAGTCGCATCTCAGCCATTAGTCAACCGCTACAACTGAAGAATGCAAAATGAAAATTTACCTAAGCAAAAGAACTAGTCGAAAAAGGGAAAGCAGATAAATCAAAAGAAGAACATACACGGTAAAATCCAGATCTTAAATTCCACATTTACAGACATTACCAGCATCATCAACTCAGTACACCATCTTAAGATTAAGATCGACCTAGTTGATTAATTAAATAGTTATAATCATCACAAAATAACCATTAACTTTAATTAATTACTTTCTACCCCTCTTTTACACTACTATACCCCTTTCAAAAGTCAAAACTATGCTACTGATCGACATGCATGCATGCCATGGCTGGCGCCGCCGCCGCCTCCGCCGCCGCGCCATCCTACGTGGGTCACTGGCAGCGAGACGCTGGCTAGCGGCGGTTACAGCATGAAGAGCTTATCGCTGAACTTGCAGCGCCACACCTCCAGGTACTTCAAGTTCCCCTCCTTTTCTCTCTCTGCTTCATCTACCGCCACCGCCAGCGCGACCTCCTCCTCCTAGCCACTCCTCGCCGTCAGCCGCCTCCCCCGCTGCAATCTCTCCATATCCTTCCTTCTCATACCAATACACCGTCCGCTCTCCCTTATATATCCTTTTCCAGGGCACCCACCGCTGCTGGCCTCCTCTCGCCGGTCATCTCCACCGCAAGAACCCTCCTCTTCCTCCTCGTCGCCTTTCTCCTCTCCTCTAGCGTCCGCCCCCTCCCTTCCCTCGCATCCCCTCCCCCAACAACCGCAAGAAACGACAAGACAACGACGACAACAGGAGTAGCAGTAGCAGCAAGAGGAGGGCGTGGAGGCGTGGTTGCGGCAAGACAACGACGAGGAAGAAGAAGAAGAGAAGGAGGAGGATGCAGGTACCGTTGGGATGGATATGCCACCGCCGCCGCTCACCTCCTCCTCGCTGCCGCACGCCGTTCAGCCCTCCTCATCGCCGCGTCGAGCCGCCGCACCGCCGCGCTCCGTCGAGCCCTCCTCGCCACTGTATTGCCGCCGCCACACACCGCCGCACCACACCCACTGCCTCCTCGCCGCCGTACCTGGAGGGCGCCGCGCCGCCGAGGGTGAGGTTCGCCGCCACAGCCCCCGCCACTGCCACCGCCGAGGGTGAGAAGGAGAGAGTGAATGGATAAGGGTGAGAGAGTAAAGGGATAAGTGAGGGTATTTAAGTAAAGGAGATAGGTGTTGGTTCTAACACTAAATCCGGAACCTTTGACTATAATAGGTTCTAATTTTTATAATAGTAGAGATAAGCATGTTATATAAATGTAACTTTATATGTATTAATTATAAATTATAATTTCTTTCATAAATTTATGTTTCACTAGAAAATAGGCCTATTACTTAATATGTTCCAAAAAAGAGTATAAAGGACCAAAATAGAAATTAAATATTAGAGTGCACATAATATATTTCCAAATTTTGTTGATTTAAATCAAACAGTTGCCATACAAATCCGTACAATGAAGTTGCCATACAAATCCATACAATGAAGTTAGAAATTAATTCACACCCTAACTACTATCCCTTTCGCATGATCGGATCATACATACAAGCCTTGGTCATTCTCTTTAGCGCTTGCCTCGTTTTCAGTCTCGACATCAGTTGTGGGTGTCGGTGGCTCATCGGGTTGATCGTAGTCATCTTCGTCGATGATATCTCCATTCCGACAATACTTTGCTTGTCTTCGAGTACAACATGATGTGGCTTCATGAGTGATGGGTCCTTGACATAGAATATCTGCTTAACGGATTTTGCGAGCACGAATGGTTCATCTTCGTAGCCAACATCATTGAGGTCAACGATGATCGTTCCATGCTTGTCAATCTTCAACCCCCTTGGAATTTTGACCCACTTGCATTGGAATAGAGGGACTTTGAGGGCTCCGTAATCTAACTCCCATATTGACTCTATGAAACCGTATTAAGTCTGCTTGTTGCCACCATCATCGTAGGCGTCGATGCGCACACCACTGTTTTGATTTATACTCTTGTTGTCCTGGGACTTGGTATAAAAGGTATACCCATTCATATCATAGCCCTGGTACATGTGGATTGTGTTGGATGGCCACCGAGATAAAGAAAAATGGGCACCATCGATGTCTGCAGTTGTTAGGTACTCCATCAACCATTTCCCAAATTGAAGTTTATGCATCTTCGCGAGCCATGCTGCGCCTTTCCTGGGATTGTCTCTACGGAGAACATCCAAGTGCATGTCCATGTACGGAGCCACCAAAGCTGATTGTCGTAACACTGCAAAATGGGCATGTCTTATGGTTTGTCGATTGGGGGCGACAATTCTCCTATGACCTAATATTCCCTTTCCAAGCATCCTGCCCTCGTGACGGGGCACGGGAACACCGATAGGTTGTAGATCCATGTAATCTATACAGAATTCGACCACCTCCTCTGTTGCATAACCCTCGATGATGCTGCCTTCGGGTATCGATCTGTTCCTGACATATTTCTTTATGATACCCATAAACCTCTCGAAAGCCCACATGCTATCCAGATATGCTGTACCTAAGATCTTTACTTGTTCCACAAGATGAACAATCAGATGCACCATGATATCGAAGAAAGAGAGAGGGAACAACATATCTAGCTGACAAAGATTGAGAATCGTGTCCTCCTGAAGCATGCCCAATGAAGCCGGATCGATAACCTTTTGGTTTATCGCTTTGAAAAACTGGCATAACTTGATGATTGGGTCTCGGATCTTTTCTAGAAGGATACCTCTAATTGCGACCGGTAGCAGCTGCGACATAAGAACATGGCAGTCATGTGAAGCTTAAGAACATTCCAACCAACCTCTTATCTTTCATGCTAACAAGTCTCTTAATGTTCGCACAGTAACCGGATGGGACTTTTACACCCCGCAGGCATTCCCACATACTCGTTTTTTCTGTAGCACTAAGAGTGTAGCATGCCGGAGGTAGGTAGTAGCAGCCATTTCCTCTGTCTTGAGGATGCAGCTCTTTCCTGATGTCCATGTCTTCCAAGATCTTTCCGTGCTTGCAAAGTGTCCTTCATCTTGCCAGGTGTGTTCAACAATACCCCGAGCACGCCTTCACACACGTTCTTCTCCACGTGCATCACATTGATCGCATGACGAATATCCAAGTCTTTCCAATACGGCAAGTCCCAAAAGATAGACTTCTTTTTGAATAGAGGGGTCTCACCGCTCGATGTGGATCTTCACCTCCGCCAAGATCTCACTTCCGGTTCTAAAAATTGGACGTCCATCTATTTCCACCGTCCCATCAAAAGCTTTTTTATTTTGGTGGTGTGGGTGATCCCGCCTGAGGAACCTCCCATGACGCATGTACACGGTTTTCCGACTATGATTCAGTCACTTGCCTCCTGTTTGGGCCATGCACCATACACATGCTTTCATGCCCTTCACCATTTGGCCCGACGTGTTTCCAAGTGCTGGGTAGTCTGTTATTGTCCCTAACAAAATAGCCCGACATGTGAAGTGTTCTTGTTTGTACGTATCCCACATCTGCACGCCTTCCGTCCATAGTGTATGAAGATCCTCTACCAGCGGCTTGAAGTACACATCGATATCGTTGCCAGGTTGTTTAGGCCCTTGAATCAGAAGTAGCATCATGATGTACTTATGCTTCAAACAGAGCCCAGAAGGGAGGTTGTAGATAATAACAACCACTGGCCATGTGCTATGACGACTGCTCATGTTACAAGATGGGTTCATGCCATCAGTGCTTAGTGCAATCCTCACATTTCTGATGTCGTGAGAAAACTTTGGTACTTCTTGTCTATCTTTCTTCACTGAGACCCATCAGCTGGATGTCGTATCATTCCATCTTTTTTACACTCTTTGTGGTGCCAACGCATCAGCTTGGCATGCTTTTTGTTTGCATACATACGTTCCAAACAGGAGATGATTGGAAAATACCGAACGACCTTCACCGGCACTCTTTTCTTATTTCCACCCTCATCATCCCCGTCTCCCCACTTATAGCTAGAAGCCTTGCATACCGGTAAAGAATGCAATCAATTAGACAAGCATGAATTTTCTGTATGTCAAGACCAAAGGGGACATATAACTTTTTTGGCTTGTATGTCGATTCTGGCTAGATGTTGTCCATAGGAGAATTTCTTTCAAGAGCTCTAGCAACTCAGTGAAGCTCTTATCGGACCATCCGTTGCTCGCCTTTAGGTGAAGCAGCAATAGGACCACTTGAAGCTTATTGTGCTCCACCTTACATCCATTGTAAACTGGAGTTTTGGAGTCCTTCACCATGGTTGTGAACTTGCGATATTCCCTATCATCAGTGTCAAATCTCTCCCCGTCGTGTAGCATCTGATCTAGATTAGGTTCACCGTGATCGACACATGTTTGGTTATCCTCCTCGCAGCCAACATCCGCATCATGCCCGTGACAGTTGCCGGCACTTTCCTCACGTGCACCTCCTCGCCAAGGAAGTTGTCCCTAAAACCCATTGTAAGGAGATGTGAATTTACCCGTGAGCCGGAAGTTGTCTGTCTTTCTTGCATTCATGGCATGGACACCAAATATATTCCGGTGCATCAACAAGAGCCGTTACTCCCCTGAAATACTCCACAGAGTCACGATCCGCTATAGTTATCCATTCTAGATCCATTATATCCAATGGGTACCTGCAATAATTATCGTTTATTACCAATCGTGAAGGAAAAAAACAATGAGGATTTCATAATGTACAAGCACATTAGAATAAAAACAAAGAGTAATGCCCATTTTACCCTACGATAAAATTGAGATTTTTGCGCACGCCCACATCACCTTAATTAGATATTCATGGCTAATGAAAAGATAAAAAAAATTCTATTTTTCGTCAATGCAAAAAAAATATTTGGCTAATGTGAAACATTAACGACGATGGCGTAGATGGAATAAAACATTAATTAAAATTTAGCATGACATCTAAGAACATATCTACAAATGACTGATGGATCCATACAAATGACTAGTGCATTTTACATGTATTACCACACGGCAATTCAATTCAACGAGCAGGTGTGAATCTGGGTGAGAAATAATGAATATTTACTTTGTAGGCTTCAATCTTCAACCAAAACCCAAGAAAAATCGAGCAAAACCATTTCCATCTCCTCTAGTGGATCGATGGGCACCCGTAACATAAATTTGAGATAAATCAAGCTATCAATGGACATTTCCATGGCCTTAACATAGTTTGACTAGCATTAATTTGACTAACGGCCGTGACGAAGGATGGAAGAAAACATTAACGCAAATTTAGCATTTCATGCAACAATAGACACAAAAAAAGATAAAAAGAATTATCCCTAAAAACAACACCCATAGTGTATTTTACATGCATGCATATAGCACATGGCAATTCAAATCAACAACCAAGAGTTAAACGGAGCGAGAAATAATTGATTTTTACATTTAGGCTTCAACCTTTAACCAAACACCACAAAAAAAATGGAGTAAAACCTCCTGCCCTCCTCTAGCTGCTCGGGGCAAGAACGAGAGGCGCCACTCTCTTCTTGCTCAATCAGTTCGAGTGGCAAGGGATGGATTATATATATATATGTACTATTGTCAGAACAAAGGTGCCGGTTCTAGACCCAAAACCAACACCTTTGTCTTCCCAACCGGCACCTATGTGTAGGGCTCACCAATGGCTACTACAAGCACTTTGGAACATAGGTGTCAGTTCTAGACCAAAAATCGGCACCTTTGTCTTGTCATACAAAAAAACCAGCACATATGTGTAGGGCCCACCATCGGGCATGAAAAGCACTATTGGAACAAAGGTGCCGGTTCTAGACAAAAACCGACACCTTTGTCTTGTCGTACAAAAAACCGGCACCTTTTTGTTGGGCCCACCACCAGGCATGAAAAGCACTATTGGAACAAAGGTGCCGGTTCTAGACCAAAAACCGGCACCTTTATCTTGTCATACAAAAAAAGGGCACCTTTTTGTAGGGCCTACCATCGGGCATGAAAAGCACTATTGGAATAAAGGTGTCGGCTTTATGACGAGAACCAACACCCTAGTCTTAAAACCGAACCTACGTGTGGGGCCCACCAACAGCTAGTGTGGGAGGGGGAAGATTAAAAGGTGCCGGTGGGTTTAAAACCGTCAGCTTTCTCTGACACAGGTTTTAGGTATCAGTTTTATTTAAAAACC